ACTTTGGTTTCTTGCCAAACCACCGTTCAGATTGTGTCGTCTCAATGGACTTAGATGGTGCCCTTTTTTAACATGAATGCTGCTGTCTCTAATGCATGATCCCAAAACGATATTGGTAAATCGGTAAGAAACATCATAGATTGTACTATATCCAATAAAGTACGGTTATGACGTTCGGACACACCATTATGCTGTGGTGTTCTAGGTGGCATGAGTTTGTGAAACTATTCCACATTGTTTTAATTGAAGACCAAACTCGTAACTCAAATATTCGTCTCTGTGATCAGATCATAGAAACTTTATTTTCTTGTCACGATGATTTTCTACTTCACTTTGAAATACTTTGAACTTTTCAGACTTATGTTTCATCAAGTAGATATACTCATATCTGCTTAAATCATCTGTGAAGGTCAGAAAATAATGATACTTGTCGCGAGCTTTAATATTTATCGGACCAGATACATCAGTATGTATGATTTCCAACAAATCTGTTGCTCGCTCCATTGTTCTGGAGAACGGAGTCTTTAGTCATCTTGCCCATAAGGCATGGTTCGCAAGCACCAAGTGATTCATAATCAAGTGATCCCAAAATCCCATCAGCATGGAGTTTCTTCATGCGCTTTACACCAATATGACCTAAACGACAGTGCCACAAATAAGTTGCACTATCATTATTAACTTTGCATCTTTTGGTTTCAATATTATGAATATGTGTATCACTACAATCGAGATCCAATGAACCATTTTCATTGGGTGTGTAACCATATAAGGTTTTATTCATGTAAACAGAACAACAATTTATTCTCTTACTTAAATGAATAACCGTATTACAATAAACATGATCAAATCATATTCATGCTCAATGCAAACACCAAATAACACTTATTTAGGTTCAACACTAATCCCGAAAGTATAGGGAGTGTGCGATGATGATCATATCAATCTTGGAACCACTTCCAACACACATCGTCACTTCACCCTTAACTAGTCTCTGTTTATTCTGCAACTCCCGTTTCGAGTTACTAATCTGAGCAACTGAACTAGTATCTAATACTGAGGGGTTGCTATAAACACTAGTAAAGTACACATCAATAACATGTATATCAAATATACTTATGTTCACTTTGCCATCTTTCTTATACGCCAATCACTTGGGGTAGTTCCGCTTCCAGTGACCAGTCCCTTTGCAGTAGAAGCACTTAGTCTCAGGTTTAGGACCAGACTTGGGCTTCTTCACTTGAGCAGCAACTTGCTTGCTGTTTTTCTTGAAGTTCCCCCTTTTTCCCTTTGCCCTTTTCTTGAAACTAGTTATCTTGTCAACCATCAACACTTGATGCACTTTCTTGATTTCTACCTTCATCGATTTCATCATCATGAAAAGCTCGGGAGTCATTTTCGTCATCCCTTGCATACTATAGTTCATCACGAAGTTCTACTAACTTGGTGATGGTGACTAGAGAATTCTGTCAATCACTATCTTATCTGAAAGATTAACTCCCACTTGATTCAAGCAATTGTAGTACCCAGACAATCTGAGCACATGCTCACTAGTTGAGCGATTTTCCTCCGTCTTTTAGCTATAGAACTTGTTGGAGACTTCATATCTCTCAACTCGGGTATTTGCTTGAAATATTAACTTCAACTCCTGGAACATCTCATATGGTCCATGATGTTCAAAACGTCTTTGAAGTCCTGATTCTAAGCCGTTAAGCATGGTGCACTAAACTATCATGTAGTCATCATATTTAGCTAGCCAAACATTCATAACGTCTGCATCTGCTCCTGCAATAGGTTTGTCACCTAGCGGTGCATCAAGGACATAATTCTTCTGTGCAGCAATGAGGATAAACCTCAGATCACAGATCCAATCCGCATCATTGCTACTAACATCTTTCAACACAATTTTCTCTAGGAACATATCAAAATAAACACAGGGAAGCAACAATGCGAGCTATTGATCTACAACATGATTTGCAAAATACTACCAGGACTAAGTTCATGATAAATTTAAGTTCAATTAATCATATTACTTAAGAACTCCCACTTAGACAGACATCTCTCTAATCATCTAAGTGATCACGTGATCCAAATCAACTAAACCATGTCCGATCATCACGTGAGATGGAGTAGTTTTCAATGATGAACATCACTATGTTTATCATATCTACTATATGATTCACGTTCGACCTTTCGGTCTCTGTGTTCCGAGGCCATATCTGTATATGCTAGGCTCGTCAAGTTTAACCTGAATATTCCGCGTGTGCAACTGTTTTGCACCCGTTGTATTTGAACGTAGAGCCTATCACACCCGATCATCACGTGGTGTCTCAGCACGAAGAACTTTCGCAACGATGCATACTCAGGGAGAACACTTCTTGATAATTAGTGAGAGATCATCTTAAAATGCTACCGTCAAACTAAGCAAAATAAGATGCATAAAAGATAAACATCATATGCAATCAAAATATGTGACATGATATGGCCATCATCATCTTGCGCCTTTGATTTCCATCTCCAAAGTACTGTCTTGATCTCTATCGTCACCATCATGACACCATGATCTCCATCATCTTGATCTATATCAATGTGTCGTCACGTGGTTGTCTCGCTAACAATTGCTCTTGCAACTATTGCTGTCGCATAGCGATAAAGTAAAGCAATTATCGGGCGCTTGCATCTTATGCAATAGAGAGACAACCATAAGGATTTTTCCAGTTGCCGATAACTTCAACAAAACATGATCATCTCATACAACAACTTATATCTCATCACAACATGCCCTGCAAAAACAAGTTAGACGTCCTCTACTTTGTTGTTGCAAGTTTTACGTGACTGCTACGGGCTTAAGCAAGAACCAATCTTACCTACGCATCAAAACCACAACGATAGTTTTGTCAAGTTGGTGCTATTTTAACCTTCACAATGACCGGGCGTAGCCACACTCGGTTCAACTAAAGTTGGAGAAACTGACACCCGCCAGCCACCTATGTGCAAAGCACGTCGGTAGAACCAGTCTCGCGTAAGCGTACGCGTAATGTCGGTCCGGGCCGCTTCATCCAACAATACCGCCGAACCAAAGTATGACATGCTGGTAAGCATTATGACTTATATCGCCCACAACTCACTTGTGTTCTACTCGTGCAAATAACATCAACACATAAAACCTAGGCTCTGATACCACTGTTGGGGAACGTAGTAATTTCAAAAATTTCCTACGCACACACAAGATCATGGGGATGCACAGCAACGAGAGGGGAGAGTGTTGTCTACGTACCCTCATAGACCGGAAGCGGAAGCGTTAGCACAACGCGGTTGATGTAGTCGTACGTCTTCACGGCCTGACCGATCAAGCACCGAAACTACGACACCTCCGAGTTCTAGCACACGGTCAGCTCGATGACGATCCCCGAACTTCGATCCAGAAAAGTGTCGGGGAAGAGTTTCGTCAGCACGACGGCGTGATGACGATCTTGATGTTCTACCGTCGCAGGGCTTCGCCTAAGCACCACTACAATATTATCGAGGATTATGATGGAGGGGGGCACCGCACACGGCTAAGAGAATGATCACGAATATCAACTTGTGTGTCTATGGGGTGCCCCCTGCCCCGTATATAAAGAAGTGGAGGATGGGAGGGCCGGCCTCTCTATGGCGCGCCCTAGGGGGGGTCCTACTCCCACCGGGAGTAGGATTCCCCCTTTCCTAGTCCAACTAGGAGTCCTTCCAAGTAGTAGGAGTAGGAGACAAGGAAGGGGAAGAGGGAAGAGAAGGAAGGAGGGGGCGCCGCCCCTCCTCTTAGTCCAATTCGTACTAGTCAATGGGGGGCGCGTGGCCTGCCTCTTCCTCTCCCCTAAAGCCCAATAAGGCCCATATACTTCTTCCCCCGTATTCCCGTAACTCCCCGGTACTCCGAAAAAATACCCGAACCAATCAGAACCTTTCCGATGTCCGAATATAGTCGTCCAATATATCGATCTTTATGTCTCGACCATTTCGAGACTCCTCGTCATGTCCCCGATCTCATCCGGGACTGCAAACTCCTTCGATACATCAAAACTTATAAACTCATAATATAACTGTCATCGAAACCTTAAGCGTGCGGACCCTACGGGTTCGAGAACAATGTAGACATGACCGAGACACGTCTCCGGTCAATAACCAATAGCGGAACCTGGATGCTCATATTGGCTCCTACATATTCTACAAAGATCTTTATCGATCAGACCGCATAACAACATACGTTGTTCCCTTTGTCATCGGTATGTTACTTGCCCGAGATTCGATCGTCAGTATCTTAATACCTAGTTCAATCTTGTTACCTGCAAGTCTCTTTACTCGTTCCGTAATACATCATCTTACAACTAACTCATTAGTTGCATTGCTTGCAAGGCTTATGTGATGTGCATTACCGAGAGGGCCCAGAGATACCTCTCCGACAATCGGAGTGACAAAACCTAATCTCGAAATACGCCAACCCAACATGTACCTTCGGAGACACCTGTAAAGCTCCTTTATAATCACCAGACAGCTGTAGAGCTTCTTTATAATCACCCATTTACGTTGTGATGTTTGGTAGCACACAAAATGTTCCTCCGGCAAATGAGAGTTGCATAATCTCATAGTCATAGGAACATGTATAAGTCATGAAGAAAGCAATAGCAACATACTAAACGATCGGGTGCTAAGCTAATGGAATGGGTCATGTCAATCACATCATTCTTCTAATGATGTGATCCCATTAATCAAATAACAACTCTTTTGTTCATGGTTAGGAAACATAACCATCTTCGATTAACGAGCTAGTCAAGTAGAGGCATACTAGTGACACTCTGTTTGTCTATGTATTCACACATGTATTATGTTTCCGGTTAATACAATTTTAGCATGAATAATAAACATTTATCATGATATAAGAAAATAAATAATAACTTTATTATTGCCTCTAGGGCATATTTCCTTCAATGTATACTATCCTCAGCTCACCACACACTACCATATGACTAAAAAATCGGCGCTGGTTCTAACATTTGCATCTAATTTACAAAATAATGATACTCAAACCAATCATGACCAGTGAACAAGAAAAAATACAAAGAAGAAAAATGAGTATGGATGGCATTATACCTTATTATGTTCAACACCAATACTGGTGAGGCAGTGGTACTCTAATAGGAGAAGAAGAACCATCATCTTCTAAGAAATTAAGAAAATGATGTCATATCAGAAATGGCATAAACGCCAACTCAAATAGTTAATTCACGAGGAACATATAAGATTAAAGAATGCCAACTCAAATAGTTAATTCACGAGGAACATATAAGATTAAAGAATGAATTATTATTCCATGATGGTAGACAAAGCAAACTTCTTTATTGTCACTGTAATCAAATAATTATACAAAACTGTCAGGCTAATTATATACTTCTGTTGTTGGCAATCCATCCATGATTAGATTAATTAGTAGAAAACAGTAAATGGAGTTAGTGAGTGAGGCTCACTGACCATCCCAACTGGAACTCTTGTGCTCTCTTAGCAGACTCAACATCAGCTGTGGAGTTTGAGACAGGCTCGTACCATATCACATCCAACAACATCCCCATCTCTTCATTCTGCTCTGCCTGCAACAGAAACGTTAGAGTGTACAAAAGCTCACCTTTTGCTAAGAGTGCATCAATGACCTTGTTGTAGTGGTCGATGCCTGCGTGGTTGACCTCACCGGTGCCATCTGGATGTCAAACAAAACACACAAGGCTATTACTATTAGTGTGCTGATATATATGTTGATTTATTTCTCCATAATTTGACAACCCTGTCTATCAGTCAAATTATTAAGGGGCGCACAAAATTTGTACTGATAATGCATACTTGGGAGAATCCGAGACCATGCAATTGAGAATCTGTAGGCATCCAATCCCATAGCTGCCATGAGCTGAAAACAGAACATGAAATAAGTACTAACCAACACATCATCCAAGCATGAAAAGAAGGGCTGATTTCATATTCGACTACACTGTACACCTAAAATCTTATTTGCTAGTAAATATGATTATGGGGCCATGCAGTGTACAGCCGGCCAGACACGTATAACTAATAAGCAATTCATGAATTCAGATAATTTGAGCCAAACAGAAAATAAACAGCCTGTCAGGCTCGTAGTACTAATAAGGAATCCATAAACTGCAAATGTTCTGATAGTACAAATAAAAGGCAGAAGCAATGCATATGAACCAAACAGGATTAAGGCACACATCTAACTGGTCCTTTTCTAGCGATGTAAATTTTCTGATGTTCCAGGCTGGCACCTAATTTTTTACAACACACTTCAACATGAACCTGAGCCTGAATCCAGAGCCAGCAATAACACTGAACCTAAGATATCTGAAACTATTTTGTCCTTAATCCTGGACCAGACCCACTTAGTTTATCCAAAATAACCAATTAGTAAGTACCATACTAATCATCATATCACAGACATGCCATTCATCTCTTACACTCCAGTACAAGGAAAAAGAAACACCAACCAAAGAACATAGAACAGAAAAATCCATCCTTGACAGAGAAAAAATGAGGCATGCGGGAAACCACGGAAGCACCGACAGAGCTACGGCCAGGCCGGATGTGCCGTGGCCCACCCAAGACTGAAGCAAAAAGAAGTTTTATATGAAGCACTGCCCACAACAATGCAGTGATTTTCAGTTTGATAGCACAGTTTGTAGTCTGGCCTGCCCACCTTTTTGGTGGTAGCTCCGCCATTGCATGGAAGACAACAAAAATATACTTTGGATGAATTTAGCTACATCCAAAGCTTTGCTCACCAGTAAAGGTACCCAACAAAGCAAGAAAGAGAACAAAAAAATCCCTCCGTTGGAATGTAGCTAGAGATGAGAATATTCTTGACGGGAACTAACAAAGAAATCTAGCTAGCCGTGACCATTTTCTGAACAAGAAGAAAGCTACCAAGCAGTATCAACTAAGGTAACACACATCACACACATCGATGGGACAACATACCAAAACCAGTAACATCAAAGGAGAAAAGCTCACTGATGGCAAGAGAAAAAAGTATGAGCTGCACAACATGTACCTATTTATACTACAGTGAGTCCAATAAGGAGCGCGTCCCGAGATCCTCTCTTCCTCCTGCTGGTCTACTTCCTCATCCAAACACGGAGCAAATCATGGCACAAGCAATCAGGGCAGGAAGGGGGTTAAACGGGATCTGACCTCAATTGAGAATCTGTAGACATCCAATCCTATATCTGCCATGAGCTGAATGTCCTCCTGAAATAGTTAGTTGTTTCAAGGGCCATGAGTATATTTTACAACGTGCGCATAATTAAACCCTCATGTTCATATTCGACGGCACGTCCAAGAATCAGAGCAAAAATGGGCTAATTAAGAACAAATAAATGCAAAGGAGGCACGTACCTGATTGAGAGGGCTGAAGATGTGTGAGGCTGCTCCCCTTCTCCAGATCGAGGCCACACTCCTGCCCTCTCCTTCTCCAGATCGAGGCCATGCTCACCGCCGGTCGACCACGAGCTCTGCCGAATCGGTGATGGCGGAGAAGGAGGACTGGGGGCGAGGCCCTAGATGCGGCATCAGGGGAGGAGGCGGGGGTCGCGGGGAGAGGGTGAGGGCGAGGCCCAGGAGGCGGCGGCGGCAGGGGAGGAGGCGG